AAGCTCTCCAACATATGATGTCATTAGTGTTTTTGATCTTGGCTATTCTTACAGGTGTAAGAATGATGGAATCTCAGAGTTGTTTTGATTTGCATTTCTCTGATGACTAAGAATGTTGAGCATTTCCTTAAGTGTCTTTCAGCCATTTTAGATTCTTCTGTTAAGAGTTTTTTGTTTAGGTCTGTATTCCATTTTTTATTAGATTATTTGTGATTTTGGTGACCAATTTCTTGGGTTCTTTGTATATTTTGGAGATCAGACCTCTGTATGATGTAAGGTTGGTGAAGATCTTTTCCCATTCTATAGGCTGTTGTTTTGTCTTGTTGACCATGTCCTTTGCTTTACAGAAGCTCTTCAGTTTCAGGAAGTCCCATTTATTAATTGTTTCTCTCAGTGTCTGTGCTACTGGGGTTATATTTGGGAAGTAGTCTCCTGTGCCAATGCGTTCAAGTGTACTTTCCAATTTATCTTCTATTAGGTTCAGTGTGGCTGGCTTTATGTTGAGGTCTTTGATCCATTTGGACTTGAGTTTTAGTGATAGATATGGGTATGTTTTTATTCTTCTACATGTTGGTATCCAGTTATGCAAGCACTATTTGTTAAATGTGCTTTCTTTTTTCCATTTGATATTTTTTGCTTCTTTGTCAAAAATCAGGTGTTCAAAGGTGTGTCAATTAATATCTGGGTCTTCAGTTCAGTTCCATTGGTCCTCCTGTCTATTCTTATGCCAATACCAGGCTGTTTTCAGTACTGTTGCTCTGTAGTAGAGTTTGAAGTCAGGGATTGTGCTGCCTCTAGAAGTTCCTTTATTGTACAGAATTGTTTTGGTTATCCTGGGTTTTTTTGCTTTTCCATATGAAGTTGAGCACCATTCTTTTGAGACCTGTGAAGAATTTTGCTGGGATTTTGATGGGCATTGCATTGAATCTGTAGGTTGCTTTTAGTAAGATTGCCATTTTTACTGTGTTAATTCTACCTACTCAAGAGCATGGGAGATCTTTCCACTTTCTGGTGTCTTCTTCACTTTCTTTCTTCAAAGATTTAAAGTTCTTGTCATACAAGTGTTCTACTTGTTTGGTCAGAGTTAATCCAAGATATTTTATGCTATTTGTGGGTATTATGAAAGGTGACATTTCTCTGATTTCTTTCTCAGTCCATTTATCATGTGTGTAAAGAAGGGCTACTGTTTTTTTTGTTAATATTGTATCCTGCTACATTACTGAAAGTGTTTATGAGTTGTAAAACTTCCTTGGTAGAATTTTTGAGATCGCTTATGTAAACTATCATATCATCATCAAATAGGGAGTGTTTGACTTCTTCTTTTCTGATTTGTATCCCCTTGACCTTTTCTTTTTGTTGTTGTTGTTGTTGTCTTATTGTTCAACTAAGACCTCAAGAACTATATTGAATAGATATGGAGAGAGTGGACAACCTTGTCTTGTTCCTGATTTCAGTGGGATCGCTGTGAATCTCTCTCCATTTAGTTTGATGTTGGCTATTGACTTGCTGTACATTGCCTTTATCATATTTGGTATGTTCCTTATATCCCTGCTCTTTCTAAGACCTTTATCATTAAGGGATGCTGTACTTTGTTGAAAGCTTTTTTGGGCATCTAGTGAGATGATTGTTTTTTCATTATTTCTGTTTCTGTAATTCTGTCAGCTTGTATTTTATTTATTGTCTCTATTTCAGTTTCAGTTTTCAAGTCTTGACTAGTTTCTTTCATTTGTTTGATTGCTTTTTTTCTTGGTTTTCTTTAAGGTATTTGTTGATGTCTTTCAATTTTTTGTTTGTCTTTTTTCCCACTTCATTGAGGGAAGGTCTCATTTCCTCTTTTAGGGCCTGAAACATTCTCCTGAAGTTATTTTTTAGGTCATTTTCTTCTACCTCATCTATATTTGGTTGTTCAAGTCTTCTGTTGTAGGGCCACTAGATTTTACTGGTGTCATGTTGCTCTCTGTGGTGTTACGTTCTTACCTTGTCTACCCATCATTTCATCTAATTGATGTAGTTGGGGCTGTCTGTGACTCTGGCAATCAATCTTCCATGTGCCAGTGGAGCCAGAGCTCAGATGGTTACTCTTCGTGGTGCAGTTGGTGCCATGGTTTCAGTTAGCCCATTGATCATTCCATGTTCCTGGAGGTCACTCAGCCCTCCTTGGTTTTGCTCTGCTCCTGTGGAATTCACTGTCTCGGGCCTGCCCTGTCCTAGGTTGCTGGCTCAGACTTGTTTCTGTAAATGTTCCTGGTCTGGATCCACTTCTGCAGAGGTCTCTGGCTTAGGGTTGGTCCTTCAAAGGTCTCTGGCTCTGATCTACTCCCTCAGAGGTCCCAGACCCGCAGAAGTCCTGGCTCAGGCCTACTCCTTCAGAGGTCCCAGACTCACAGTTGGACCCACAGAGGTTTCTGGTTCCTGCCTACTCCCTAGGAGGTCTCAGACCAATGGCTGGACCTACAGAGGTCCTGGCTCAGGCCTACTCCCTCAGAGGTCCCAGACTCATGCCTGGTCCTGCAGAGGTCCTGGTTCGGGTCTAGTTCCTTGAATGTCCCAAATTCATGCCTGGAACCCCAGGGGCCCTGGCTCAGGGCTACTCCCTCAAAGGTCTCAGACTCATGCCGAGACACATAGAGGTCTCTGGATCCTGCCTACACCCCTGTAGATCCCAGACTCATGTCTGGACCCAAAGAGGCCTTTGACTCTGGCCTACTCCCTCAGCAGTTGCTCCCCTGTACCTGTTCCTGTGGAGTTCACTGTCTCAGGTCTGCTCTAGCCTAGGTTGATGGCTCAGTCCTGTTCCTTTGGAGTTCATTGCTTCAGACTTGCTCTGGCCTAAGTCACTGACCCAGTTCTGCTTCTGCAAATGTCCCTGGTCTGGATCTATTCTTAGTCCCATGGAGCTCACCATCTCAGGTCTGCTCTGGCCCAGGTTGCTGGCTCAGTCCTGCTACTGTGGAGTTCATTGCCTCAGGCCCACTCCAGCTTAGGTTGCTGGCTCAGTCTTAACCCATATTTCTTATCTATCCTCTGCCATGTGAGGTACCTTCTTTCAACACAGCTTATTTATATCCTGCTTCCTCTGCCTCTGGCTCCCAACTCTGTTTCCACTCTTCCTCTTCCTAACATTCTGTTTGCTTTGAAAATCCTGTCTATTGGCCAATCAATTTTTATTAACAATAAGATCAATACATTTTCGGAGTATACAAAAGAATTATTCCACTATAGGCAGATCTCTGTGAGTTTGAGAACAGCCTGGTCTGCAGAGTAAATTCCAGTACAGCCAGGACTACACAGAGAAAGCCTGTCTTGAAAGATCAAAAATAAAAGAGAAAGAAATAGGAGATTGACAGGACCATTCCAGCCTTTTCTTTATAACTACAACAAAACTGCATAAGGCCTCAGGGTCTTCATAAGGAGCTAGGGTGATAAACGGTGGCTCTCTACCACTGTGACCATGGCAAAGCCATAATACATACTGGGTGAATGCTTTTGGATACCGACATTTCTTTCAATAACCTCTTACCTACATTCTGTAAGTAGCCCAATAAATACTGGTTTCCCAGATGAATTTCTTTGAAATTAGACCTTAGGATGTCATTTGAACTCTATGAAGAAGGATAGATACTGCATAGTTTAGTGCTTCTGCCCCTAAGGAAAAGATATCCTCACAACAGATAATTTATCTGTTAATGTTATTTTGTCTCATGGTATTAAGAGAAGAAACCAGTAAATAAGAGAAAATATTTTAAAAGATTCAAATAAATGGATAAAAGCATAGAATTTGGTTTAGTAGAAAAGAATTTGTTTATAAAGTAAACTAAAAAGTTTACATAAGTTCTGAGTAAATTTTTTAAGGTATGTAAAGGGTGAAACTTAGTGGTGACATATATGATACTATAATTTCTAAAGTCAAAGGTCAAGAATTATAAGTACTGGATAAAATAAATCTCTAATCAAAGTTTATTTTAAAGTGTCTGACTTTTAAAATATTATACAGCAGTTAAAAGTATCAAACAAGTAATGTGGGATTCCCCTCTTATGCTGTGAATACAATTGGCAAATTAATAAAGAAACTGGTTTGGACTGATAGCACAGAGTAGAGCTAGGTAGGGAAAACTAAACTGAATGCTGGGAGGAAGGAGGCAGAGTCAGAGAGAAGTCATGTAGCCCTACCAGAGACAGACACGGGAACTTTACCCAGTAAGCCATAGCCTTGTGGCAATATACAGATTAATATAAATGGGTTAAATTAATATGTAAGACTTAGCCAATAAGAAGCTAGAGCTAATAGGCCAGCCAGTGATTTAATTAATACATTTTCTGTGTGATTATTTCGGGGCTGAGCAGCAAGGAGCAAACAATCAGCCTCCTACAATAAACGAGTATAACTAGTCTTTTGAGTGTTCAGTAAGTAGACTCAGAGGCTATACGATATAGTCAGGTGGACTAAAAAGGAAAAATATTATTCCACTTGCCTTCTAATGTCAACTAGGCCCTAGAAAGATTTGGAACATCCACTGAAATGTTCTGTAACCATGGTGTCGTGATTTGAAAAAGAGTTGTCCCCAAAGAGAGTAGCACTATTAGGAGGTGTGGCTTTGTTGGAGTACCTATAGCCTTGCTAGAGGAAGTGTGTCACTGTGGAGGCCGTCTTTGAGGTCTCATATATGCTCAAGACATATGTAGTACCTCAGACCACTTCCTGTTGCCTGCATATCATGATATAGGAGTCTCAGCTTCAACATCATGTCTCCCTGAAAGTCACCATGTCAGAGCATGATGATAATGACTAAATCTCTGAAAATGTAAGCCACCCCAATTAAATGTTTTGTTTAAAAAAAAAAGAAACCTTGTCATTGTTTTTTAAACTCTTAGAAAAAAAAAAAAAGAGTTGCCATGGTCATGGTTTCATTTTATAGCAATAGAAACCCTAAGACAGAAGTTGGTATCAAGGACTGGGATATTTCTGCGATAAATCTGATCATGTTTTTTTTTTTTTTAAGAATGTGGACCTCAGTACTGTGGATTTGAAAAGCACTTGAATGCTTTGAGTGCTGCTTAATGGGCCACACCAGTAGAAGCATGGAAGACAGTGGTGCTGTATGTGATTCGATGAACTGTGGAGACCTTGCTCAGGAGGTTAGAAAGAAAATAATATTAATATGTGGCCTAGAGATCATTCTTGTGATATTTTAGAGAAGAAAATGGCTTCTTTTTGCCTTTGTCTGAAGAGTCTGCCTGAGACTAAAGTAAAGAGTTTTGGATGAATTGCTTTGACAGAAAAAATTTCAAAACAGCCTATTATAAACTTTGTCATGTGATTAATAGTGGCTGCTCTATTGAAAGATTTATAGTGAAAAGGAAGAAGCTGAGCAGGGTAAATTACAAAATGTAAAATTTAAGGAGAAAAAGAATACCAGGAAGTGGGGGAAGCTGAATTCTGTGTTCAAGAAGATAAACAGATTAAGACATGGAATAAAAGGAGTGCTGACCTCAGGGCAAATTTCTACCCAGCAAAGTTTAGAAAAGGAATTAAAGAAAGCGTAGAGCCTGATGTAGTGGTACACATTTTTTAATCCCAGCACTAAAGAGGCAGAGGTTGGTGGATTTCTGAATTTGAGGCCAGCCTACTCTACAGAGCAAGTTCCCGAATAGCCAAGCTTAGAAAGTGAAGGGAACTATCAAAAACGCCAAAGTTGTGAGTGTGGGAGAGCTGTCTCCACTGCTCACCTGTGGCATGATGGCATGGGTGGGGGAAGATACCCTTCTTTCCCCTCAACACATTTTTCTTTCTTTTTCTTTTAAGCTTTAACTTCTTGGGATGAAGGCCATTGCAAGGGCAGAGAGAGATATGAAAGGAGAGGAAATGAATGGGATGGAGATGCATGATGAGAAAACACAAAGAATAAATGTAAAGAAAGCTAAACTGGGGAATAAAACTGAGCAGAGAATGCTCAAAAGATGAAACATGGATGACTGGGAAATATTTTTAAAGTGTTCAATATCTTTAGCCATCAGGAAAAGGCAAATTAAAATGACTTAGAGCTTTCATCTTTCCTCTGTCAGAACGGCTAAGGAAAAAACATAGGATGACAAACACAGGCCTGGTGCGGGGAAAGGGGAACATTCACTCACTGCCAGTGGGTGGAAATGGATGCAGTCATTATGAAAATTGTTGTGATGTTTCTTCAGGCAGCTAGAAATAGACCTACAACATGAGCCAGGTAGATTCTTCTTGGGCACATACCCAAAGGGCATTTTACTACAGCAATACTTCTCCTCCTTCTTCATTGTTGCTCTATCACAATAGCTAGGAAATGGAAACAACCTAGATATGGAAACATATAGATATGGATGAGTGAATAACAGAAGTTTGGTATACTTACACAGTGGAATATTATTTAGATGTTGAGGAAAAACTACTAAAACTCACAAGTAAATAGATAGAGTTATAAATAGTTATTCTGAGTGAAGTAATCCAGATCCAAAAGAGAAATATCACATGTTTTCTCTTATACACAGATGTTAGCTTTGAATCTTTAAATTTTGCTTTTAGATCCTCATAGAGGTCAGGAAATTATTAAAGGTCCAGGTAAGGGTGTTTCCAAGGAAAGAAGACACACCACATTGGTATAAAGGGAAACAGAAATGATGGAGCAGAAAGAATAAGATGGGGTGGGGAGATGGAAGGAAAAAATATAGATAGATAGGAGTGTGGGGAAGGACTGATAACAAACAGTAAAGCCCTGATAAAAGTCACATGAAATACTACTATTGCAGATATCCTCTTACATAAACGTATACAAAACACATTTCAATAGAGTTACTCTGTATCTGGACAGCAATGCCTCGACTAGACATCATCAGCTAACAAATAAAAAACCCAGTGTCAGGAATGGGTTGTTTCTCTTTTATATGATGGCCAATGAGTTTCCACAGACCCCACACATTACAGACTGTTGCCTTTTCTCCTGGTTGCCTCCAGAACTTGAAGGTAAAACTCTATTGCTGAAGATATTGCACACTTGAGTCACAGGACATGGAGAAGTCAAACTGAAACTACCCTCAAAGCTTCATCCTTACAGGCTAGCTTCATAGTACTGGAACGTACTATGCACACTATCAAAAGAGAGTAATCACAAGTTTTATCCGGCTACAGACCTTGTGAGATACGATAACTGTCAGCATGTGCCCATTGGTACAAGAGCAGCTCGAGAGTTATGTGAGTAACCAACCATCTTTTGACTGGATTTAAGGCCTGCTGCACAATATGGAACCTGTAACTTGCACCATTATCAAGGAATCCATAGCTAGATGGGTGATCAGCCCTAGTGGGAAACCTACTACTTTGTGAAAGGGGCATATAATCAAACAGACTCCTCACGACTTACTGTGACAGCCACAGATTCAGGCTTCTCTCCAACCCCATCAGAGAAGCCTCTTTTTGCAGTAATGAGTCACACAGAGACCCACAACTTGTCACGGTGCAGAGAATAAACTGTGGAGTACTCAATCCTAAATAGGGCATGTATCTCACACTGCTTCTCCCAAGGTTCAAGAAAGAAGAGGCAGAAAGATTTGAGAGCCTGAGGTGGTAGATGACTTCAGCAGTGTTCTCTGGATGTAAAAGGACAGTTGCTCTTATGCACTCACAGTGATTGTGAGGGCATACACAGGATCTGAGTAAGCTCAGAAGAGCAAAATCCTAGCATCACAGGGAGGAGTCACAAAGTTTACTCACAGTGATTGTGGGGGCATACACAGGATCTGAGTAAGCTCAGAAGAGACAAAATCCTAGCACCACAGGGAGAGGGAGTCACAAAGTTCTACTCCTGGATGAGGAGCTATTGGTGACTGCTAGCTGCTAGGAAAACAGTCAGATTTCCTTAAGGGTGAGGCTCCTGGCAGATAACCATGCTCCAGTGAATGGCCACACCAACAAGGAAATATGGGCAGTGCTCCTTGGACTGGATGGTTTAAAAACAAACAAGGACACAAAGCCCCATGAGTATGGAATGCAGGGGGGATCCGGGAGGAGCTGAGGAATAGCTGAATAGGTTTGAAATATAATGTATAAAATTGTCAAAGGACTAATAAAAATATACTTTAAAATAAATTCTGGGGAAATACTTTGTAGTGATATTTCATTTCTTTTTTAATAAATAAAGCTTGCCTGACATTCAGAGAGTAAAACAACCACACCGGTCAGCCTTATGGAATAGGCAGTGGTGACACCTTTAATCCCAGTAGCCACACTGGTTGCTGTAGAAATCAGATGGTAGTGATGTTTGCCTTTAATCCCAGCCCAAGAGATAAATATAATATGGGAGAAGACAGCTCTTAGACACAGTATCATTCTGAGGATTTGTGGAGGCAGGATCACTATTTCAGTCTGAGGGAGAGGTAAGAGTCAGTGGGTGGTTGCCTTGTTTATCTGACCTTCAGGTTGAACCCCAGTTTCTGTCTCTGGGTTTTGATTATTCATGCTACAATACTTGAAGCTTTCCAAAATCCATTGTTTTTTTGTTGTTGTTGTTGTTGTTTTTTTTTTGTTTTTTTTTTTGTTTT